AAAAAAAAAAAAAAAAAAAGATTCAATCTATGCGAGTATCTGAAAACACTCCACAGTGGAACGTGGCTAGACACCGATGTTACGTGCTCTGAGCCACTCACATCTGGCCAGGCTATGCTCAGAAGACACAAAATGCCACTGACAGCTTAACAGGCGCACCTGGGGGAGAACCAAGGCAGTGAACAGAGTGTGTCACCCAGGTCTGAGATGCATCAAATTAAATAAGGGGAAGAGTCTCAGGGCTGGGCAACGCAGACACGTGCTCCTATAAAAAGGTAGTGTTACTTTAAAGGTTCCAGGTCATCACCTTGTGAGAACACTGACACCCAGCACAGTGATTCCAGGTCCAGGAAGAAGCCTTCTCTGTCCCATGTGGCTGTGGTGGCCCTGCAACCCCAGTAGAGGGGTCCTTTGGTCACTGTAGGAACCAAAGAAGCCAGAGAGGATGGCAGTGTAACAGATGACTCAGAAAATGGTGATGTCCTGGCCCCGCCTCCTCAGCCATCACAGGGGGGTGCCGAGAGCAGGCTGAAAGTCCACATTGATTGCCAGAATCCCATCATTCTCAAGAAACCTGGCAATGGCTGCACTCCCCCAAGGGCACTGGGAACACAGCGGCTATCTGTCAGAACTAGCAGGTCACATCTAAAAATGCACCGATGTCCTCCCTGGCCCCAGACCGAGAAAAAGGGGGCCCCACTGGGAAGCTGGGCCAGGCGTGCCTCTTCCTGGAGAGGCACGGGGAGTTTGGTCCTGGGGTCAAAGTTGCAGTGTCTAGGCCCTGGCCGCTTGCTCAACCACTAGGCAGCTCTGCTCTGCTGGGCAAAACTTGTCCTTCTGATGCAGCGTCATGAGTCAGCTGTGTTGCACACACAGCTGCGGCCGCACAACATTAACAGCCATCCGTTCTGATTCTGAAGGACACCTGGGCTGCTCCCCATCATTGCCTGTTGTGAACAATGCTGCTGTGAACATTCCGGCACAAGTTCCTTGGAGCACCACTTCACTTCCTGTGCCTGTCCCCTGCTTCACCACTTCAC